GTACAATAGCACAATAGCCCAAAACCCAATAATTAAAGTCTAAAACAAATCCCAATGAAAGCTCCTCCTACCTGTGAGTTCCATAGGGGCATTATTTGACGTAACAAGGAAATTCTCCTTCATGGTAAGCGATAGTTGGAAGAAAACGACAGTCTCACTTCCAGTGAATAGCCATAAGCCTGCTATAGACCCTACCTTATTATATAAACATACCTAATCACTTAGTGAATTTGACACATAAATCAAAATATAATCCATGTGAATAAAAAGAGATATTGAAAGATGGTACTGAGATGTCAATGCTTCTAGCTCTTTTACAAAAAAAGAAGGATCAACAAAGAGAAATAAATGAGGACTAAATATACAAGTGCAAAAAGAGAGTATAGAAAGAACAGATGGATATGTTACGTATCCCAGCGCCCACATCAATTATGAATTTTGCTCTTTAATTTATTAAATTTATTTATTCGATTTTTTATTATGATTATTTACAAAGGCCATACGATCTTAGTCTACATATCTATGCGTTTATTTATGGAATTTGTTCTACCTTGTTTTCGCAATGTGGCTACATTTACAAAGAGAATTTGAATGCGGCGCACATTGTTGCTTCATAAAATTTAATTGTAATGCGCTATCATTGATAATGTTCAGGTCACCTAAGTGAGTCGTGATTTATGGTAGGAATGACTCTTCTTCAATGACAAATACAGTGCTGGTGAAATGGCCGAAAATGTATCTGACGAATGGTCTACTGAAGGAAAATCACTGAGAATATTTATTAGACTAGGCTTTCGCTTCGATTTCACTAAGGAGATTCCCGAACAAAGAACTTTGACTTTGGCGAAGGCCCAACATACGCCAACTAAGCAACCATAATTCTGCCTAGCTAGCTAGAACATCGCTTCCACGATAGCCCGTTCTCGTTACTGTGCCTGATTCTACTCGCTCACAAACAGTAACTATATTTCGCCAATGATGTTTTTTTTCGACATTTATTCCCTAGACCCCCATCAAAATAATAACGGTTCGTTAAAATTCTCAATCGGCCAGATCGGACATGAAGCTCATTAACATAACCAGACCTGTTTCCGAGCTTACGCAATCTGAATGATGAACATAAAAAGGGAGGGAGTGATGGTGGTCATCAAACCTTGATGGCCGAGAACATGCGATAATTCTTCCGTTCAAATTACTTTGAGCTTCATAGCTGGCTTCATACATATGCGAACACACTCAGGCATATACATATACAAATAAAGACACACTAACATGTTTCGAGTTTGACATATGACTTGATGACTTTATACCTCATCAAGGAGCTCAAATAAAGAGTATATATACAGCATTAATGGATGAGAGGGTGGGTTTTCTAGTCTCGTTTGCTTTAATATGGTTGTAAAATGATAACCTATTCTGATGATGTCCGTCATATGATCGACGAAGGCTTAGGATATTTTGACCGAAATCGAAAAAGATTGCATCCGAAACAACATTACAAAGAGTACTTTAATTGAGCTAATTCACAGCTGGCAAAGAAAAATCCACGATAGCCTTCTTGTGGGGTCGACATTCAAATCTCTTCATTCAACACCTTTCCTCGAAATGGAAATAAGCTCAAAAATTAAGAAAGAAACATGGCCTCAATATGACCGTATAGGCAGCATTTCAGGTTACATCTTCTCTCAGTCACTGATAGTGGGTAAAGTAACACTTTGGGGTCAGATTAGAAAATGATGATTAGCGTTAGGTCAACAAGGTTATTTAAGCTAAATCAGATGAATTCCTCCATAATCCAAGTGATTTAGTATTTGCAGGGTTAGGAACTAGGCCATGACATCTAAATCACCTTTCTTACCCCTTTATGTAACATGCCTTACAGAACACATTAGCATGAGTTTTGACTGAGTATCTCAATTAATACATGTGTCAGTAGCATGGGAAACTATCGTTACAACACACAGATCCGTGGTATGGATTGGGAAAGCATAACCCACCTTCATCAGCCACATAATCGAAACCATTGATGCTTGCGCGCTTAAACTCCATCTTATTCTCCGTCAAGGTGCCCGTCTTGTCACAAAATACGTATTGGATCTGGCCCAAGTCCTCAGGGATATTAAAAGAGCGCACCTCGATAGGCCGGTTTGTCGCCGGATCGTAAAGATGGATGTCCTGGGTGATGTGCCAGACCTGATGCATCTTGACGAATTCCAAGGTAACGTAGAGCGGCAATGGAATCATCGCCTAAAAAATAGCCCAGATATAATTACTAGCCAAGTAACCATACAAAAAATTAGTTAATGTTTTTAGAAAGGCCCATGTTCTTCATTCCTATTTGAGAGATCAGATTTGAAGACTAGTGAGATGTTATACAATGAGGTATAACTGAGAATAATCCTTAACACATGAACAAACTACGCTTATAGAAACAATGTGTAAGTACATTATTTTGTTGCTAATATATTTAGTTTAAGGTATTAATTATTAATAGATCTGTAGTAACAAGAAGATATTATCATAAAGATAAAATAATGTAAATAAATTGTCAGTGTCGTTACTTTTCAGATCGCATGTGGGCTGGAATACGGGAAAGGGATGCGTAAAACAAGGAAATTTATATCAAAAATCGACCAAAATCTAAGTCATAAAAAGCGAAGCAAACTTTTGCATACGAACTAAGCCTAGACTGCATTTAAAGATTTAAGGATTGATAGTTGGGTTTTCCATCAGTGGAATAAGTAGGCCTCACAGAGCGAATGAATTTCACTTAGCCTTACCTCCCAAAAAGCGATATCATTAAAAGTGGATTACAATCAGAAACTATAACAGAATTCGATACAGGGTTGTAAGTATCATGGAGAAGTTACCACTCAATTACACAGTCACGGGAGTCAGAGGGTCACGGAGCAAATTAGACGACCAAATCGTATATTATGGTGGGATTTACAGTTATGAAAAAATATATTTGCTACTTATTGAGCAAAGAAATTCAAAGAAGCAATGGTCCAGGCTGACAGTCATATAAAACATGGCAAACTTTCCTGGATAGTTCACACGTAGGTAGGTGGTGTATTTGCTTATTAAGCAAAATATCCCTTTTCTATTAGAGGTCTGCTTAGATGCTTTAGCAATCTTTGACAAGGACCATAATGACAGTAATTTTTTGTCAAAGCTATCATCGAGTCTTATTTACACATGATAATTTCGTTTTTTAATTATAAATAGACGGTCTCGGAGTAA